GTGAAAAGGCAGTGACTTGGCCGCTTCTCAAAAATTAAAATTCCCCTTGGTAGGAAGGAAGCAAAAGCAACCCCAGGCGTTGGGTGCTGCTTTCAAGGCAAGAGAAATGGGGTTTAGGGGAAGCTTTAAAAAGGAAAAAACCCAAACCCTCACTTGCAACATAAACACCAACAGTATTTCAGAGATCTGCCCTGGGGCAAGATGACCATGGAAACAGGACTCAACAGCTTCAAATCAGATCCCGTGGTTAGAAAAGGCAGAAAGACTAACGCCACTGCAAAGGCAAAGAGCAGATGTGCTTCTACACAGCAATGGCAAGGGCTGCATGAGATTGGCCAAAACCACTCTGCTGGAGTAGGGAGGGCCAAGTCAGCACCTGAAACACTGGGGAAGATTAGCCTGGGGGAAAAGGGGTATTTTGCTGCTCATGGTGGTTTTGGAGGACCCACTCCAGCCCCCTTATGGAAACGGCACATCCTAAGCAGTTTCTGGGCATCCACAGTGCATCCTCCTACACCAGTGTTTTGTAGCACCAGCTCCAGCACCCCCAGCTTTAAAACCAGCCACGAAATAAAAGCGTTAATGAAATAACACTTGTGCCAGAGGGGGGAAACCACAAGCCATGGGTGTGAAAACCTTTCCCACCAGGACAGCCCCAGCCTCTCATCACCGTGGAAATCTCCCCTCCCTGGTTCCTGCAGCATTTTAAGCACAGGGATCAGCCTTTCTGAACACTGCTGTTCATTCACAAGGTAGGGAGGGAAGCGGGTAACCTCACAGGACACCGCAGGGATGAACATCCCGACTTCCCTCTTGGCCAATTGGGAAAATTTGGTGTCGTCTCTCCCTAAATGTGACGCTCGCAAGGTTTTAATGCCTCAGCATTTCTCCTAAGGGAGAGGATTGGGAGGAGGAGAAGGGAAAAAAAACCCCATAGCATGTTTATGAATCAGCCTGCGAAGCGTGTGTTTCGGGGGTGGAAAAGGTGGGCGATGCGCAGAGGAAGAGTTAGATGAGTCACAAAATGCTGCTTTTCCTCTCCTCGCCGGCATCGCAAATATTGCAGCGTGGAAGAGAAATTGTATTTCTTTCTTTTTTTACTGTCAGGAGGGAGCTGGAGCGTAACCTTGGCTGGGTAGCAACCGCCGGCAGCGAGCCCCACTTAGAGTACACACAGGGGCACCTGCATGCGTGTGCTGATGGATGTGCATACACATGGACACGCACATGGACACACAGCCCCCGGTACAGGCTGGGAATAAACAATGCATCAGTGGGGTTTGCTGCTGCTGCTTCTAGCAAAACAGGGGCTTGGAGGTGTGCTCGCGTCAAAGAGCAAGAAGCAACTCGGGAATGAGCCTCAGTGGGTTTCCGGAGAGTGGCAACACATCAGAGGCTGGATGTGGGCTTGGGGATATCTCTTGCGCCCACCCACGTGGGCTTGGGCACACACACGTGCAAACACACACACGAGAGCTCTGGGATCCTGAAATAAAGCTTAGGGAGATGTGGAGAGGTGTGTTATAAAAGAAAAGCAATCTACCCATGGGGTCTGAGCTCACCCTGTTGAAGCCGGCTTGAGTAACTCTTAAAACAACCACCACGTAAATACTGCTACCACTGCACCTTGCAGACAGGCACAGGAGGGTTTGAAGAGCATCAGTACCACACTGGGGTCAGCGCCAGGAGCAGCAAGGGTGAGGATGGGCAAGACCTGGAGGAGAGCTGATCCTGCCCGGTGGCATTTCCAACCCCAGACAGCAGCAGGGCTTCTGCCTGGGAGTCCAAAGAGAGATGAAATGCAAGAAGAGATAAAGGCCCCTATGCTGCTAACAGCTGAGCACTTGACTCTACTGACATTCACAGTCCATTTAGGTTACTGACAAAGCAAACAAAATTATGCACATGCATTAATGCTAGCAATATCCTGCCTGACATGCACGCTCATTTACACATGGAAATCCATTGACAAGAGAAATCAGAGCTATATTTAAAACAGAAAAATCACTTCACCATCCATGGGGCAGCTCCTGTTTACATCTGTCATTCCTTAGCAAAACTGGAATCATTGCAGGGTAAATTGTGCCCCTGGTTTTACGTTTAGAAAGAATAATATCTGCCCCCGCCTTGCTCCCCCTGCTCATTTATTGCTTTTGTATTTTAGTGGGTTTGAAGCGGTGTAGTGTAAAAGCAACCTGTGGAGCTCAGTGCTGGCAGATGGGAGGAAGTACAGGGAAGCACCCGCCTGGCACACGTGGAGCATCCAAAGCATTTATTAGTTAAAACTGACTTTGGAGATTCAGAAGCCTTTTAAGAACTGCCATAGTGAGACCTAAATGTTCTGCTGCTTCTCCAGCTTCCTTGGCAAACAAAACAGCCATGATAGAGCTGAAACTGGAACACGAGCTCTTCTTAAAAGGAGAAATATCTTCTTCCAGTCCAGCAATCTACATCTCACTGCTTGGCTGCCAAGCCACGAATTGGAGATATTAAATAATCAGTATTGCTCTCCGTTTCCTCCTGCAAATGTAAATACGAGCACTGGAGCCGAAAAAGCAATCGTAGGCTCCAAAAGAACACTCACCCCCTAAAATATATATATTTTTAATATAAAACACACCAACAGCCGCTGCTTCTCACTTAATGCTGGAGCTCATTGCTCCAGCATTTAAAATGCATCAATAGAATAAAGCAGCAGCAGAGGGAAGCTCTGAAGTATGTCAGGAGGCAGATTTTAAGAAGGATGATGTATTTTAGATTGTGATTCATGACCACACTGGCAGCTTGATTTCAGGTGAAATGAATGAATGCAAGACGGGAGGCTGTGAAAATGAAAGTAGCTGGAGCCAAAGGGCTGTTCTGCCCTTCAAGCCACCCAAGCTTAGAATCTTCTTCCCCCTTCTGCACAAGCTCAACCGTGTCACCGAACAGCCCCACACTTCCGCTGCTGGAGTTTAATTAAGCCTAAATTAAAATGCAATTTAATACAGGTCATTTTTAAGCCCAGCTCACCACCCCACACTGCTCCCTGGAGCAGTTCTCCCACATGGGGCGTGCAAAGGTACCCCAGCACAGCCAAGGAGGTTGGCTCCTGCTGCTGCAACACAACCTACAAGTTCTCACCATGCTGGAAAAAAAGGCTATTTGCTTAACGTCAAGGTTCTAAACCAAGCAAATCACAAAGGGTCCCATTCTGTGTGATTTTAAGCTGTGCTAACGTGCCGAAATCTCATCCATGCCATGAGAAAAATGTAAATACAGCACAAAAATTGCAACAATTCAGAATTCTTAAAAGAAAATCTTCACATTTTCACTGCTTGTTACACTGCCCATGTTATTGCTCTCAATGTCCATGCACATCACTGTGAGCTGTACTGTGCAGGAGATGCAGACCTCTGCTTCGAAGGCAAAAGCCACAGGACATCCCAAAGTCAAAAGCTCTTGCGAATCAACAGCCTGCAAGAAACCCAACACTGAACTTTACGAGAAGCAAAACTGCAGAGAGCCAAGCACAGAGCTCGCCTTCATGGAGGAAGGAAGACAAATAAAAAGACAAACTTAACTGCTACTGTTAACCCTTTGCTTTCCACCTACATCAGACATTCGAGCCCCCTTCCTCAAGGAGAGCCCAGTGTCACTGAGCAGCCAATGTGCCTGACTCAGCGACGATGACTCACTTGGACAAACAGAAGGATGAAGCCACCATGAGCCCCGCAATGGTGATGCCCATAGGTGACATGGTGCAGCATGGCACAGAGCACACATCACATTCTCATGGGGCCAAGGGACGGCGCAGAAATGTTGGGAGCAACTATACCTTGAAATCAGGCCGCTCACCTGTTTGTTAAGGATGCATTTTGCATTCAGCCCCCAAAGCAGAAGGATCCCTCCCCTCCCTACTAACGAGACAGGTCCCCAGCTGCCTTCCTCCAAAACCAGGTCAGACAAGGGCAGATACGGTAGATGCTCCATTGCTTACACCTTGTGCAGAGTGCTCCATGGTAAGAGCTTCCAAATGCAGTCCTGGCCACACCAACCCAGGAAGCAAAGCATAAACTACCTGATATGGGGAGCATTGGTAGGAAGGGGGACCCCAAGCACAGCCCAGCACACAGGACTGATGCTCACAGGGCTTGTTTGGAGTCCACACAGCCCTCTCAATGAATAAATATGCAGAGAGCAATCCTGCCAGCATCTGCTCGGGGTTTCCTCAGCCTCATCCTTAAGGATCAAACAAAAAGCAGATGCAAAAAGCTCCAAGTCAGGAGACAGTTTACACACTTATCTCCTTGCACAACTTTGAGACAGGACCTGCTACCCCAAAGCACTGGAGCAAACTCACCCTAAAACTACGTCCTGCCACAGCCTGACCAACGGCAATCAGACTGGGTAGGTTCAGGCATCCCTGTAAGTCCCTCCCGTGCACACTGAGCACTTGCAAACCACGAGGTTAAAAGCCGCCCTCATCCAGCCTAGAAGATGTCCAGCTGCTCAAGGAGGGCTCCCCGGGTCAGAGGAGCAGGCAGCGAGGCCGCTGCACATCGCATCATCCTATCTCCCCCTGCCACCCCTTCCTCTTCCGCAGCAGCACCCAGGGCCCAGCTAGGGCTATGGCGAGCTGGGAGCGGGGTCCCTCCCATCGCAATACCCCTTGCCTCGATTTTGGGGCTTCCCTCTTTTACCCACAGGCAACGGGGGCACCTCTCCCTCTTCTACCTCGCCGCATCCCCGCGTCCCTCCGCCATTCCGCCAGGGGAATTACTACCCCGCTAATTTCCAGCGCCGGCGGCCGCCCATACGCCGGTAACTCGGTAATTGAATTAAGCCGGCAAACGTTCCCCTAATCAACAGGTATCCCACAGCACATCCCCACGGCTCCTCCGGGGCGCGGAGGGATTCTCTGGACCCCCGGCCCCAAGCTTCACCCCGGCTCTTCCCGACTCGTCCCAGCCGCCGCACTGTCCCGTTCGGGCTGCCCCATCCCGCCGTCCCGCACTAACCATTGCGGCCGTACTTCTCCCTGCTGCGCCGGACCTGCTCCGGGCTGAGCCCGCAGCTCTCGCTCACGCCGAAGCGGCGGAGGACGTCGAGCACCGGGAGGCTGTGCGCCGCCTCCATGCCCCGGCCCGGCCCGGCCCGGCCCGGCGGCTGCTCGGCGGGGGCACACGCGGCGCCGCTCACACGGAGCTGCCTCGGCACCTCTCCGCCCGCACCGGGCCCGCCTCCGCCCGCCGTCCCGCCCCGCCCCGCGCCCAGCGCCGCCTCCCGCGGCCAGCCCCGCACCGCACCGAGCTTGGGGGGCAGCGGGGATGCTCCGTGTCCGGCGCGCGCCCCTCGGCAGCACAGAGCGGCCCTGCACGGAAAGGGACCCGTCGGTGCCCACCGTGTTTTCATCACAGCCTGGGCTGGGTTGGGAGGGACCTCAAAGCTCAGCCAGTCCCAACCCCTGCCTCGGGCCGGGACACCTTCCACTAGAGCAGCTTGCTCCAAGCCCCTGTGTCCAACCTGGCCTTGAACACTGCCAGGGATGGGGCAGTCACAGCTTCTCTGGGCACCCTGTGCCAGTGCCTCAGCACCCTCACCCTCAGTTTTCTTAATTATTCCCAGCCCCCTCGGCAGTGATGCTGGCGGCCAGGACAATCCTCCTGCCCCAGGGGTGACATCCCCCGGCAGTGGCTGCTCCTTCGGGTGGTGGGAGACGTGGGAAGGGGTCGTTCAGCCCTGTGTGATGAGAGGGGGTGCCCTCCATCACCCCTCATCCAGCTGGAATTGGGCCATGCCCTGTTCCTGCTCCTCCCACCCTTCTGGCAGGCCCATATCCAGGGGCAGTGTCTGATGACAGTGAGAGCCCTGGAATTACGAATCACTGCCTGACACTTGTGAAAACCATTGTCGACACTGTCCCCACTGATGCACCATATCTGGAGGGAAGCAGCTCTGCTGAGCTGCCTTAAGCTTTTGAAACATTAAATGTAAAACGTCACCACAGGGAGATGCAGGAAGAAGCCAAGGCACATCATAAAACCCAAGCTTCAGTCTCACTGAGTGCATCTCAGACATCCCAGGGAATCAAGCGTCACAGCGCTTAGTGCTCCTCATCCCCATGGCAGAAGGCAGTGCATCCATATTCCAGCAAACGGGTTCATTCTGGAGGCACTTGTGGGTTTGCAAGGATTCAGCCCAGCAAGGTTGCCCTTGACACCTCTCACTGCCCCATTTAACCAGGGTCCCATCCCCTTTCTGCTCGGTCAAGTAGGGGCCAGAGCCTCAGTTACACAACACTCCTTTTGCTCGCAGCAGGCTACTTAAATGACTGTTTCTAGTGGGAAAATGACTGTTTATAGCAGCAAAATGAGTGATTACAGCAGCCCCCCCTCCTTCCCCCATACAGCAGAGACCAGGAGCACCGTGAGGAGTTGTCCTGATCTGGAAAAGAAGGGTTGTTCCCAAAATCCATGGTACAACCCAGCTAAGTAACCACCTTACCCCCTATCTGCAGGACTTATCCATGCAGTGCACCTAACCCAGCTCTTCACTTGAGCAGTTTTCCTGTGACCAGGGTAAAACCCACTCCCAGTGACTGTCCCCACGTGAACACCAACTTCTGACTTTTCAGGTACTTCCAGTTTTCCCACTGATGTCAACGGGCACTGCTCAACAGCTGAAGGTGGAGACACAAGATAGCTCAGGGTAACAAACCCAGCTTCTGCGGAAATGGACCCAAAGTCGAGCTCTGGTACATCAGCAAGCGTGAGGAAGTGGCAGCAGGCACCCTGGGGAGGAGCTCTAGCTTCTTTATTTCTATATAGATTCATTTATAGAATAGTAGAATCATAGAATCATAGAATAGAATAGAAACATAAAATAGGGTTGGAGAGGACCTTAAGATCATCCAGTTCCAGCCCCCGTGCCATGGGCAGGGACACCTCCCACTAAACCATGCCACCCAAGGCCCTTTCCAACCTGGCCTTGAACACCATCAGGGATGGAGCATTCACAACCTCCCTGGGCAACCCATTCCAGTGCCTCACCACCCTAACAGGAAAGAATTTCTTCCTTATATCCAGTCTAAACTTCCCCTGTTTAAGTTTTAACCCATTACCTCTTGTCCTATCACTACAGTCCCTAATGAAGAGTCCCTCCCCAGCATCCCTATAGGACCCCTTCAGATACTGGAAGGCTGCTCTGAGGTCTCCACGCAGCCTTCTCTTCTCCAGGCTGAACAGCCCCAACTTCCTCAGCCTATCTTCATACAGGAGGTGCTCCAGTCCCATGATCACCCTCATGTCCCTCCTCTGGACTTGTTCCAACAGTTCCATGTCCTTTTTATGTTGAGGACACCAGAACTGCACACACTGAGGTCTCACGAGAGACCTCCTGGTCACGCTCCTTTTGATGCAGCCCAGGATACGGTTGGTTTCTGGGCTGCGAGCACACACTGAAGCTGGCTCATGTTCATTTTCTCATTGACCAGCACCCCCAAGTCCTTCTCCTTGGGCTGCTCTGAATCTCTTCTCTGCCCAACCTGTAGCTGTGCTGGGATTGCTCCGACCCAGGTGTGGGACCTTGCACTTGGCATGGTTAAATTCCATGAGGTTGGCATCAGCCCACCTCACAAGCGTGTTGAGGTGCCTCTGGATGGCATTCCTTCCCTCCAGCGTATCAACCGAACCACACAGCTTGGTGTCATCGGCAAACTTGCTGAGGGCGCGCTCAATCCCACTGTCCGTGTCAGCGACAAAGATGTTGAACAAGACCGGTCCCAACACCGATCCCTGAGGGACACCACTCGTTTCTGGTCTCCAGCCAGACATTGAGCCATTGACCACAACTCTTTGTGTGCAGCCATCCAGCCAGTTCTTTATCCACCGAGTGGTCCATCCATCAAATTGATGTCTCTCCAATGTAGAGACAAGGATGTCGTGTGGGACAGTGTCGAAAGCTTTACACAAGTCCAGGTAGATGCCATCAACTGCTCTACCCCTGTCCATCAGTTCTGTAGCCCCATCATAGAAGGCCATCAAATTGGTCAGGCAGGATTTCCCCTTAGTGAAGCCCTGCTGGCTGTCACCGAGCACCTTGTTGATTTTCATGTGCCTCAGCATGCCTTCCAGGAGAATCTGCTCCAAGATTTTGCCTGGCACAGAGGTGAGACTGACTGCTCTGTAATTCCCCGGGTCATCCATTTTCCCCTTCTTGAAAATGGGGGTTATATTTCCCTTTTTCCAGTCATCGGGAACTTCACCTGACTGCCATGATTTCTCAAATATGATGGCCAGCGGCTTTGCAACTTCATTTGCCAGCTCCTTCAAGACCCGCGGGTGGATCTCATCAGGACCCATGGACGTGTGCACGTTCAGGTTTTTAAGATGGTCTCGAACCAGATCCTCCCCTACAGTGGGCGCAAGGTCTTCATTCTCACAGTCCCTGCATCTGCCTTCCAAGACTTGGGTGGTTTGGTCAGAGCCTTTGCCAGTGAAGACTGAAGCAAGGAAGTCATTCAGAACCTCAGCCTTCTCCAAATCCAGTGTAGCCAGTTCTCCCGAGAGCTTCCTGAGGAGGCCTACATTGTCCCTAGTCTGTTTTTTATTTGCTATGTACCTATAAAATCTCTTCCCATTATCCTTAACACCCCTAGCCAAGTTTAATTCTAACTGGACCTTAGCTTTCCTAACCTGGTCCCTAGCTTCCTGGACAACATCCCTGTACTCTTCCCATGCCACCTGTCCTTGCTTCCACCTTTTATAAACCTCTTTTTTCCTTTGAATTTTCCTCAGCAGGTCCTTATCCATCCAAGGAGGTCTCCTGGCCCTCCTGCTGCACTTCCTTCTGGTTGGGATGCAGCACTCCTGAGCTTGCAGCAGGTGGTCCTTGAATATCAACCAACAGTCTTGGGCCCCCCTGCCCTCTAGGGCTGTATCCCATGGAACCTTCCGAAGCAGGTTCCTGAAGAGGCCAAAGTCTGCTCTTTTGAAGTCCAGGGGAGTGAGCTTGCTGCACGCCCTTCTCACTGTCCTGAGGATCTCAAATTCAAGCATCTCATGATGGCTGCATCCAAAGCTGCCCTGGAGCGTCACATTTCCAACAAGCCCTTCCCTGTTGGTGAGCACGAGGTCAAGCATGGCACCTCTCCTTGTCGGCTCCTCTATTACTTGCAGAAGGAAGTTGTCTTCCACACAATCGAGGGACCTCCTGGATTGCTTGTGCTGGGCCGTACCGTCCTTCCAACAGATGTCAGGGTGGTTGAAGTCACCCATGAGAACAAGGGCCTGCGAGCATGAGGCTTTTCCTATCTGTCTATGGAGTGCTTCATCCGCAGGTTCTCCTTGATCAGGCGGTCTGTAACAGATGCCCACAGTAATGTCTCCCATAGCTGTATTCCCTTTAACCCTGACCCACAAACTCTCTGTGGACTGCTAACCTGTCCCCACACAGAGTTCCATACTCTCCAGCCTGTCCCTAACATAAAGGGCAACTCCCCCTCCCCGCCTGCCAGGCCTGTCCTTCCTAAAGAGCCTGTAACCTTCCATTCCAACACTCCAGTCGTAGGAGCCATCCCACCATGTTTCTGTGATGCCCGTTATATCATACCCCCGTAGACGTGCACACATCTCTAATTCCTCTTGTTTGTTCCCCATGCTATGAGCATTTGTATAGAGGCATCTGAGCTGAGCTCCAACCGAAGCCAGCTCATTGGCTGGAGCGGCTGGGATGTCTCTACATTGCTCCAAGCATTTATTATAGGTGCTGGCAACTGACTGGGTGTGTTGGGATGGAATGATGCCCCCCTCCCCCAACACATCTAGTTTAAAGCCTTATTGACCAGCCTGGCAAGCCTCCTACCAAAAGCAGCTCCACCAGCCCCCAGTAGACCTGGCCTCCCAAATTGAGTCCCATGTTCAAGACACCCAAACCCCTGACTATGACACCACCCTTTTAACCAGTTATTAACCTGCCCAATCCTCCTAGCTTTTTTTAGGTCCTCCCCTGTACCCTGGAGAATTGATGAAAAGACCACCTGAGCTCCAGAGCCCCTAACCACCTCCCCCAGGGCTCTGTAGTCCTTCTTTATGTTCCTCAGGCTACTACTGTCTGTATCCCTAGCACCCACATGGATCACCAGGAGTGGGTAATAGTCCATGGGACTTACTAGAGCAGGCAGCCTCTCTGCCACATCCCTGATCCGTGCCCCTGGTAGGCAA